TATCTTAAAAACAGTTAGTTTCAGCATTTTATTTGTAGTCTTCTCACAGTTTTCAATTCAATAAAAGGTTTAAACGATTTACAAACCATCTGTGTGATATTGAAGTTTCTAATCTGTTGGAAGATTAGGGTTGTGTATATCTATGATATCTGCTCCAAATTTTATCAGTTTGGAGCTTTGAGGTGTAGAGTTTGTTTGGAGAGTTATGGTAAAATGATTTTTTTTTTCTTTCCAGTTAGTTAAACCCAGTTAGTTAGACCCAGTTTCAGTTTTTTCTCATTGTGTTATTAGAGTTTTATTCTTACATTCTTAAAACCTAAATTAGTTACTACGGAAGTGTATTGCATTCACTTACAAATAAAGAAAAGGAAACTTTTTTTTTTTCATTGGAATTTTTTCCTTTGCTGTTTTTTTGGACATTTTTTTTTCTTCTTTCTGATTTTTTGGACAATTTTTTTTCTTCTGTTTTTTTCAAACTAATATTTTTTCCCCTCTTTCTGTTTTTCAGACCTTTTTTTTCCTTATTTCTGTTTTTCTGACAATTTTATTGTTTCCTGACAAAGCGAGATACTTCTAAATCCTGTGAGAATCTCATACAATCAGATAACATTAACCATCACGGCTGCTCCAAATCAGTGGATTCTCCAGCTCCTAGATAACTTCAACTATGGGGACATTGAGAGTAAGGCATGTTATTAGTTCAACAAAGGGTATGCTAATCCCGAGGAGCCTGTGCAAAGTAGACAAACTTTTGATGATTCCCTCTAACTGACTTGAAGAAAGGAGTCTCTCCCAGTGTCTCAAGCCCAAAAGAAAGTAAAACTTGATTAAGCTAAACAAGTGGGCTATGTTTGCTGAAGCAGAGGGGGATGAATGCATCCATTTTCAAATGATCATGATCCCAGAGAAAAGGAAAAACAATTAGTTTGGAAAACAAAACAAAACCAAAAAAAAAAAAAAAAGTCAAAAAAACAGAAAAGAAAAAAAAAAAGACTGAAAAACAGAACAGAAAAAAAAATTACTCTGAAAAACATTTTTTTTTTTTTTTGGTGAATGCATTACACTTCCGTAAATTACAACATGAGGTATCAATAAAATCCCTAAAAATAAGCTAAAACACCACTGAACCCTGAAGTTTGATTATTTTATCATGTTTGAAACTATTGAAAGAAAAAAACAAATATAATATTCTAGAAATAATATTATGTTGCAAAGTAATTGCAGGCTACAGGGTTTTTGTAAGTACTTTTAGATTAAGGATGACATATTTATATAGTTTAATGAGTCAAACGTAAAGTGCATTTGGATTATCCAGTGTGTGAACTGTATTAAGGTCTATTAATATCAGTTTACACTTGGAGCAGTTTTTCTCTATTAGCACAAATTCAACAGAGAAGCTGTTCTTAGCTGAGGACTAAATCCAAACTTGTTCATGACCCCGTGAGTAGGCAGCGTGGAGCCTCAGACAGGAGAGTTCTTCATTCCTGAGTAAGAGGTTCACCTGCCGACTGCTGCTAATAACTGTTCGCCACAAAATCCTTTCTTTTTTTTGTTTTGTTTTTTTATTGTAAAAAAAAAAATATCTGTAAATCGAGACACAGCACCTTTTGATTGAATTTAGTTTTTTACACTGAACAATGTCTATTCAAATGATTGTCCAAAGGGTTCAACATGGCTGCCAGTGCTCATATTTTCTCTGCTGTGACAAACATCATGCCCAAGAGCACTGGTGAAATTTAACCTTGAGTTTTTAGCGAATCTTTAAGCTGCCCATGACTAAACTGTACAAAATGTTGTATATCCTATCAATTCTATAAGATGATATCCTTAATTAACCCCTAATGATTAACATGAATTTGATGTGCAACTTATTAGCTTTCAACCAAAATGAGAGTATAGGTATTAGGTTGGATTGTCCACAGTTCCCAAACTGTCGTTCTAGCATCTTCTGAGTAGCTTGGTGTAATTCTGGGAGGTGTGTTACACCTGAAAGCCCTTTTTATTCTCTCGGCATTTATGGACAAAATTGTGCAGAAGCTTGTTCACTTCAGCGGATGTTATAGGAACATCGTCAGCACTTATTCCATTCAGTGCAATAATTCTGTACCCCCCCGAGTGCTGATCTGAACTCATGATTGGTTTGAATGCTGAGAATACAAAGTACAAATAAGCTACACAGACTGTAAAATAAAGTGTTACTTCTGATTTAATGTGATGACACTGTTTGCCTCAGTGTTGGTGAAAAGTAAAGAAGATCATGTAAGTAGAATGTTTGTATCTAAACGCTCTCTAAAGTACATAATCAGCTCTGATTTATACCCCCTCTGTGCCATCAAGAGAATGTCTTTTTCTTGTGCACCTCGGTAGGTTTTTCCTCTAGATGATTGATGTCAGTTTTTATTAGAGAAGAACCTCATCATATCTCTGAGTATGTATCATAGTGGCATTTCACTGCTGGTTTCAAAGGTTTTCTTTTTTTTTCTTTAGGATGCTTTTAAAGACACTGGACTTGAACTGAAAACCCATATTTTATAAAGTTAGCATATGTTTTTGCTAGATGAATTGATTTATAATGTATACAGCAAGTTCAGTCACTGGAAGGAAGAAAATACAACAACAACATCCGGATTTATTCACACTTCGTTATTTATTCATACTCATTTGTTTTTTCCAAATACTACAACTCTGAGAGGTTTTATTACAGTTGATGAATCATCCTTGTTGCTAATGATAAATGTGCAAACTGTCCATAAATACACAATAAAGGAACGTTTGTCTGTGTGTGACTGCAACAGTGATTTCTGACTGTCTCTGAAGTATTCAGTGATGATCGTACACTGCACCTTAAACTCTCAAACTGAAGACTGAGAGCCAAAAAGAGCTGTTTCATGTTTCCTTAAAGTCGCCTTATCATTATATTTTAGTCAACAGGTGTTAAGATTATATTTCACGTCATGTTGCAGTCAAAGACAATAACCATCTAACTCTTCGGACTTTCAGTTTGCTCTGTTTTGGATGCTGCGTTTATTAAGTCTGACGTTGTCTTGTTTGCTTTTTGAAAACTATCCGGCACATGAAACTTGCTGTAGAGGTAAAAATACCGAACAACTATTTTGTATTGTAGACTAAACCACAACTGCAGATGAAGTGGTATTGTGTGTGCTAGAGTAACTGAATTACTTGGTAATACCAGAGCTACGGTGACCATATTCTGAATCCCCAAAAAGAGGACATGACTACGGGTTTGAGGGTTTTTCAGGTCGGGTCACGTGCTTCTAACTCAGTCCACGCTACACAAACTCAAAACTTCCATTCAAGATTTTATAAACTCCAGACAGGCCAGACAGTCCCCAAAAAAGAGGACATGTCCGAGTCACCCTACTAGATCTAGGAGGTAGTATAAAAGTATAAAGAGGTAGTATGTGTAACTTGACCTGCTTTAAGTCTACAATGAGCAACATTCTTTCCAACCTTGTAGTTCTTGATAATGCCATCTGTTGAATATTGAGCTCAGCCCACACTTATATCGACAATTATAGGTTACCTGTGGCTTTGTCGGCCACCAGCTCACATGTCTTATCTGTTAACCATGTGTAACCCTGATGATTAAGGCCTGCTGGGACTCAAAAAGCAAAGAATTAGAAATAAGAGGTTGAAGATAACCGAGATCTTTGTAATAATGTTTGTTACCGTATGCCCATCACCAAGTGTGGCTAACATTAGCAGAGCTAGCACCATCAGCTTTTAGTCCACCCTACAGATTCATGTCCACATACCTGTGATGTTACATATTACCTCCATCAATTTAACGGCATACATGCAACTTTCTCTTCACGTTCTAATCAGTCATTTGGTCAACTAACCCGCTACATCACCAGTTGTATCATTTTAATGCTAATCAAACAGTTTTTTGTTTGCTGTACTTCTGAATGGGGGTGTACGGTCAACCTTTAGTCATGAGGCAGGTTAGCCTTCACGCCACCTGAAAGACTGTATACATCTCCTGAGTACACTCAGCTCCCCTAGCTCCAGGGAGCTTCTTAGGATTCATCTGAACCAACATGACTTCAGAATGTGGTCTGGCCACTAAAGAAATGGTGCATCATTTAAAGGGATATTGCCATGTAAATTTAAGTTATGGTCAAACACACTGCAACACAGAGTTAGATCTCCTCGAGAGATGAACGTTGCCGACTGTAGTGGAGTTTCGCAGCTCAAGGAAGAACATTTAGGATTATTAATTCATGGAAATGCAATCAGACCAAGAGGCTTGAGCAGAAGACCTACCACGTCGGCTGTGCAAAATAATTATTATGATGATTATTACTTCATGGAAATGATCCGCTACACTCAGTGATCGACTCGCCAGGGCTCCCCCACAAACAAGCGGCTGCTGGAGGAGGGTAGGTGACTTGTGTTGGACTCTATATGTACTGTTGATGAAGTTAGGTGCTGTTCTGAGCATTATTTGTGGCTATAGAGTGGCTTTTTTTGTTGAGGTTTGCACATGGAGACGTAGACTGCTGTGTATTGCTATCGTGTGGTCATTGCTGAACTTTGTATAACTAGAGAAGCAAGCAGTGGGCAATGTTCATCTCTCTTGGGGGTGTCTAACTCGGGGTTATGCTGTGTTTGACCATAATTTATATTTATGCCAGAATATCCCTTTAAGCTCTGGCCTCAGACAACCCTGAGATAATTTGCAATAAATATTTGACTCATATTCAGAGGGGGCAGAGCTCAACAAATTTAATCTCGGACTCACCTCTGACAAAGAAAACCGTCATGACAGGCTCCGGTGGGTCACATGAGAAGCATATTTATATTCAGCCTGCAGAGTTTGATCAGGAGTTGATCTGAACTTTGCTGCAGCATAACGCTCGCTCTGCCTAACTCAGGTTGAAAACAATTGACTTTGACTTCCTTAATGCTCATTGCAGAGTTTTTGAGTAAATTGCTTTTTTTTCTGTGGGAATGAGCCCTGACCCGGCTCTGAAACATCATTTCAAGCTCAGGCTGAATAGCGAGTGGCTCTGATGAATCTGTGTCTGAGTAATTGTCCTTTCCTTCACCTTAGGAGGGCTGTTAGGAGATAATCCTCTCCTTGGTGAAACAAGACCTAACACAACATCATTAATCTCATTACTAAGGCCGTGTTGCTGTGTTGCCGCTGAGTCCCACGCCCAATTATCAGCAGCGGCCATGTCCCCATGACGACGCAGAATCCTGCCCATCTCTGCCGACAATCTCCACTGTCCCCTGATTGACTTCAGCAAGCGCGGCGCCGATGATAGAGCTTTGTATCTGCGATCAGGAACCCTCTGAGCTTCAGCTGTGTCTGTGTCCTCACGCTCCCCCGGATGTCCCGCGGTTGACTGCGAACTGAGCTCAAGGCTGATCACGACAAGAGTGGTTTTGGCGTTCCTTATCGCCTCACAGCAGGTCCACATCATGCGGGAGTGGCGGACAATGCAGATGGATTTAAACACTCCAGCAGTTCATTGTCGACGTTTGCTTCTCTCCTGAAGTCGCAACAATGCAAATTCGTTTACGAGCCTCCAATCTGTGTAAATCTGTGTAGCACAGTTATAATGACGTCTTTGTGAACAACCTTGGAACAATGCATGTGTACAGCTGGCAGTGTTGTAATTCCACCAGTATATTTTATCAAGTAAACAATCCATGAGCGCAGAGCGAGGAGCAGCCTCTGGGGATTTCCATGTCGGTCCCCTCTGCCTGTGTTATGGATACTTTTTTAGTTTTGTTCTTGAGTGTTTTTACACTCCTCTGCAGGGACTTCTCCCTTAACAAAACACAAAGTATTTTCAGCTCCACTATTTTAAACACTTTATTTGATAGAATAGAAAAAGAGGTGTGCAAATTCATCACCAACAGGGTTTTATTAGATTGACCTGCCACCGTTCTACCTGAAATGGGATTTTTACGCATTGAGAGGAGTGGAGCTCTCAGTATTTAAAAAGGCAAACGGTGTTTAAAAAAGTGTAGTAAGAGGGAAGCCAGGGAGAAAACATGACGGGTTAAAAATCCCTGTGAAGGAAATAAAAGACTTCAGGAAAGAGGGATAACGGTGGTCTAACAGTCCTCAAGCAAAAGTTAAAAAGAAGAAAACACACACGAGCAGGGGTACTTTTCAGAGTTTTCAGAAAAGCAGCAAAAGTGTTACCTCAAACCAGAAAGGAAGTAAGTGAAAGCGGAGGATTAACTGGGATCCGTAAATCATGTAAAACCAGATGTCTACTCAGATTTCTGAAAGTAAGCAAGTGCATAACAAAGGCATCAAACGGGGAAAGTACCATGTGACAGCGGTGTGCTGGAATGAAAGGAGTGAAACACGGGGCCGCTTCGTTTTCTGTCAAGTCAAATCTGAAACTGAAAAGAAGTAGTCTCTGTTAGTCTAAACACACTGCTTTTCCACATTCAAGCCTCACACTGACTATTTAGAAGACCTGACACATTTCACGCTGTGAGGAAACTCTGTGCTCTCATTTCACAGCCTGTCATATCAATGTGTTACACACTCCCACTACTCCAAACACACACGCTCACACACACAGACCAAAAAATAAAGAAAGACACCTCTGGTTTGATAATATACTCCTGAATGTATTCAGTCTTTTAAAACGTGTCTGACTAGAATTAACCTGCTGCATGTTAAACTTATCAGTCAGTTGCACGTAAACAAACTCTTCTGGAGACAGCAGAGTCTTAGATTTACAGATTAAGTTCTCACTTAAGTCTTATTCTGTATAAATCGGAGCGCTCAACTGAGCATTGACAGCTCTCCTCTCATCTGCTTTAACTGTGAAGCATTTTCAGTTTCCACAAATGTGTCTGTTTATGCCTCAGTATGAATTGCCTGATTGTTGCTGCTACTGACAGAGTGACAGCAGCTGAAACAATAAGTATCATTTCAACTGACTGCATTTCAGCGTTTCTTTTGTGGATCTGCTTTAAATACTGATCAAAAAACAAAAAATCATTTGAAACCATGTGCTTCTTATATGATCAATCTGTAAGAAAACATAAAACTGGCCTTTTTAAAAAGTATTTTATTATTTAATTCACTTTTTTTTTTATCTAATCTGATTTATTTACATATTTATTTATTTTACAGGAACAAATGCATGACACATGTCTCCATAAAGCAAACAAAGCAGATACCAGAGCCCCAAGGTGGGCTCAAGAATAAAAACAGAAATGACAGAGTATTCAGTTTAAAATACTTAAACCACAAAAACAAACAACAACAGTGTATGAGAGGATATGTAGGACTTCAGCTAAGAGGGATATCAGAATAACAGGAAATGATATTTAAAGCAACTTACAGTTGTTTGAAAACTACAATATCAAAATAAAAAAAAACTTCTAGGTGGATTTTTTCAATAAACTATGATGGAGAATTAGGGCCACATTAAAAAAAAATTAAGACTTCATGATTAAAGTAATTAATTTACGAGAATAAAGTTGTAAAAAAAAATCATTACTTATAAGAATAAAGTCGTAATAATTTTATTACTTACAAGAAAAAAATGTCATAATACAGTCATTACTTACTGACTTTATTCTCATGAGTTAATGACTTTAATTTCTGTCTTTTTTTTTCTTAATGTGGCACTAATACTCCTCTATAATAAACAGCAATTATTATAAAATTATACAATTATATTATCACTTTATTATTATTATTATTTTTGTTGTTGTTGTTATTATTATTAATATTATTATTGTTATTATTATTATCAGTAGTAGTAGTAGTAGTAGTAGTAATATTTCTGACCTCACCACCTCTGTTTGGTGTCTATAACACAAACAAAAAGCAGAGTTCTCAGTAAGTCATTGAGTGGACAGTCAATACATTTCCTCTGCATTGTATTGAGCAAACACTGTTATATTATGCATATATTCATGACTTAATGGTGTTGCTTTGTACACACTTCATGAATAATACATGAGGTACACACAGACTGACAAAATAAATCTAAATATATAAATTTAAAAGATACATAAAATTAAGACTCCACATAGTGCTGAGCCTTTTTGATCATGTCTCTGCGTCACTGTGATGCAGATCGGCTCGGGTCATGTTTTCTTTTTCATTTCGGGGAGAGAGGGAAGAAAACAAGAAGTTGAATCTGTTGTTCTCCACAGCAGCAGCATTGTGTCAGCGCTAAGTGTCAGCATAAGTGTTTACCAAATAATCTTATGTAAGCCAACAAATGCATAGTAATGGCAGAGTAAATGTTTGCCATATGGTAACAGATTTAAGGCTGCGTGGGTCCAATTATTCATGTGTTTGTTCAGGATGAGTTGCATGAAGTCGTTATATTGACAGAAAGAGCTGAATCAGACTCTGCTGCTGGACACGATCTCTCTCCAAATACACGCCATGTGTTTGTGCGTCAGTTTCAGAGCAGGAGACAGGGTCAGTTTCAAAGTGAATCATTCAGTTATTTCATTTGACGTCAAGGATTTGACGTCAAGTTTTTGCCTCATATTACTAAAGCTGAAAAAGAATTTTAATTATTAAATTTAAGTCTGAGGTTGTTTTTTCTTCAGATGATAATTTACAAGTCTATCTATCTATCTATCTATCTATCTATCTATCTATCTATCTATCTATCTATCTATCTATCTATCTATCTATCTATCTATCTATCTATCTATCTATCTATCTATCGGCTGCATTATTCATGCAGCTTCAACAGTATGGGCCTTAAATTGAGCTGTAAAGAAGAGGAGTCAGTGTAGGTAATCAATAAAACAGAAGCAGCAGAATCCCTAACACAGAGAATAAACTCCTGACGGTCCCAGAGATACTAGCCCAATTTTTAAATCAGTTTAAAAAAAGAGAGAACCCCGCTGAGCTGTTTGGGCTGTGCTCGTGTCATGAAGGAGAAACATGGAGAAGATGTGAAGATCTCCGCTCTTCAAAGACCTTGGCAAACTTTTGGAAGGGCAGTGCTGCGGTATTCACAAATAAAAAGCTAAAATAAAAGCTGCACAGATCTTCCTCCACCATGTTTCTAATCAGCCTGTGAAGGGAAAAGGATTGCTTATTATGATGAATCCTTAGAGAATTATCATCCACATCTGCTGGGCTTTAAAGCGTCCTTCAACTCCAAGTTCTGGTTTCACAGCTCTTCTTTTGGTTTGAGGCCAGCCTGGTATTTTCAGTGCAGTGTAGTTTTCTACTTTTTAATTGACTAAAGACTAAGACATACAGGATCCGTATTACGCGTTCCGTCAGCATTGCATATCTGCTTCGTCGAGTATTTGGAGTGTAGCAGCAGCAGAGTGCAGCCCCGGTCAGCTGAGCTCAGTATAGAGGAAACAACATGCTCACAACAGGTTGTTTTGACTTTCTGTGGTCTGTTTCCTGCCAATTTGGGGGACAAATAACCGTCCGGCTATTTAAGGCATTTAAATTCCGGACTGTATGGCCACCCTAGCTGCATCAGTTCTGCTCTGCTGTTGGCTGAAACCTATTAAAGGTGTATCATGGTGGCACCGTGAAGTCCCTCCACAGGCATCTCAGCTCAGTTTATCTCTGTTATATGGAGACTGGTAGCTCAGGTGATTTAACGGCACTCCAGGGTTTTAGTTGTCCTCTTTCAGCCCTCTGGGAGTGCTGTGAAATTAGTTTTTAAATGTTTGAAAAATTAATGAAATGATGATGATGTGTCGCTGTTGTATTGGCACATCATCCATCCATCCATCCATTATGTATACAACCTCATCAGTGTAGTCCAGACCTCTCTCCAGTCACAGCCTCCAGCTCCTCCTGAGGGATCCTGAGGCGTTTCCAGGTCAGCTGGAGTGCAGTCTGCTCCCTCCAGCTTGTTAAGGGTCTTCTCCCAATCATATAGAAAACTACATACAGCAAAACTTCACCAGGCCCCCAAACAGCTCAACATTCAATAGAGGAGTACATTCTTACTTCATAGAAATTAGGAGATTATCCCTTGGCTTTTTCCTCAAGCTCAGCTCTATCCTGAATACAGACATGTAACCTTTGACCTTTCAGTAGTTCACTTCACCTATCTACATCTTATCTTCTCATCCCTGTTAACCACACTATAGTTATATTCTAGCCGGTGCACATAAACTGAGTCAAGGGCAGAAGTCCCATTGAACCACCTGACTGATCTCTGACTTAACTGTGCTGTATTACTGTCTTTTTGTTTTTCTCTTCCTCCAGGTTATTCATGGTTTTCATGCTGTCAACACAAAGTCTTCACAATTTTGTCGAGCTCTATCGTCTCATCAGTCAATAATTCTGTCACCTCCTGGGGCCTCATTTATCAACCGTGCATACGTACAGATGCGTGCGCAATGAGTGTGGACGAACATTCCCACGTAAAGTCTGGAATTTATCAACCTGTACTTGTGCTTAGGAACATGCGTGAATTTAAGCACAACTCTGACCATGCTTTCACACAAACTCTAGTGGTAGAACGGTGAAACTACAAATAGAACCCATTAAAGGAGTCATAGCGTTCAGCAATCTCACACTTCACACATGTTCCCCGTTTACTCTAATTCAGGGGTAGACAACCGTGTGCCATGGAGAGCCGAGGGGATGCAGGTTTTGTTTCCAACCCAAAACTCCACCAGGTGATTTCACTGATTACCTCACCTCCAAGCAGAGAGCAGAGACTTATGGTTGTCCACCCCTGCTCTAATCAATAAAAATTTATTAGTTAGTTATTTAGCTGTATTTTTGAATGATTGGTGTGACAAGCTATAAAAATCAGCCGCGATAGGACGACCTCAGAAGAAGTCTTACAGGTACAAATACAAGTACCATGGCTTATTCACTATTGGAGGACTTGGAGAACCGAGTGTGTTTTTAAAGATCGTGCTGACCTGTTCAGTGAGAACACAGAGTGGACTCTCAGCAGGTACCGCTTCCCCAAAATGTTTTAATGGATCTATGCCGTGATTTACAACCCGTGGTGGAGTGAGAGACAAAACGCACAAACGCCATCCCAGTGCACATCCAGCTCCTGTCCACTCTGGGATTTTTGGCCACCGGACCATTTCAGCGTGAGATTGGAGACATATACGGCATTTCGCAGCCAACGCTAAGCAGAATCATGCCGGCAGAGTTGGATGCAATAATTTCTCTGGCCTCAATTTACATCCAGTTCCCAAACGCACATCACCAACAAGCCGAAATAAAACGAGGATTTCACGCCATCGCCGGATTCCCAAAGGTAAGTGGAGCCGTAGAATGCACCCACATTGTACACAATGAATTCAGTTTTGTCAACAGGAAAGGATTTCATTCAATCAATGCACAAATAATCTGCGATGCACATTTGTATCTGTTATACACGACTCCTTCATTCTGCAGAACAGCTCTATGAATGTACACCTCCATGATTTCGTCGAGGGGGAAAAAATTCATTCACGCATTTTTAAAGGGATTGTCGATACCATATATGGTCTGAATGCAAATGACCCTGACCATGCACAAGAATGGTAGTAAAGATCAGGTGGGATTTATTATCACCGATTACAGTGTGTGCGTACGACCAGTGTACGAATGTTTGATAAATACAGATTTTTTTGTACTTACGCACACTCAAGATTCCATTCCTACGCCAGAATTTAGAATCTTTTTTACGCACGGTTGATAAATGAGGCCCCTGGGCTCCAGAGGGGGCCACATACTTCAATCACTCTCCCTTTGGAGGTCCAGCATTGGAGAAACTCTGACAATAACATCACACTATTTCTATAAAACAAGTACATGTCTTCATTTCATTTGTCTCTCTTAACCACGGCCATAAAAAGAGCCACTACCTAATGGATTCCCTAATATGTATATTGTATACAATTTGACTTTTGACCTTGACTTTTTTGACTTGACTTTTTTACATGATTTCGACACACCTCAGCCATCAGCCTAAATAGAGTATTCACTGAAATCCTGGAGCAAAAATACAGCAAAGTCCAGCACAAACTTGACCGGTACAAACTCAGTTATCTTTTAATATGTATGACGACAATAACCCCACACATTACATCAGTCTTCACCAGCACAGTCAGATATTCATTGCAGCAAGAATGAAGTGAGCTGGAAAAACAGAAAAAACAAACACTGCAATCGACAGCAAGCGTCATACTTCCTGAGAGTCCATGAATTCTCACATTTCTGTCTCAATAATTGATAGAAGGGCGCAGCAGGCTATAGTGGAAGGAGAGGGCTAAATTTGGACGAGACAGAGGGTGAAGACACGAGGGCAGTAAGGTGGAGGCTGTACGTTTCGTCAGTCTAAGGTGAACTTCAGCTGCCCCTGCAGGAAAAAAACGATGAAGTTAATGATTGAATAAAAAAGACTAATAGCTACTCTCTCACTTGCGGCACTTGGCAATTTGTACTTGAATTTTTCAGTGTCTCCTTGCGCACAAAATGCACAGTGTTACTTATTACAGCATAAAATATCAAAAGATGAAAAATGTCTCACAAAGATGAGGATTAGACTCTTTTAAGGCTGCTTTCTTCCTCCCTACCAGCCGCACCAGCTCCACCCGACTGGAACTGACTTGGTGAAGTGTGAGAATAATGAGGAGATGGGGGTCAGTGCTGGCATTACAATATCTGTAAAAGATATTAGCCTCTGCATTTGTTTCATGACATGAAAGAGACTCGATAACACAAAAGAAATTACAAACATAATTCATTATGAATCATTCAGATGATAATGAGAAGCACTCAGCGGCCACTCACCGAGAAAATCAAATTATACAACAAATGGGCAAAAAAAAAGCATCCTAACCAAACATGATTACAGCGCTTTGATAGCCCCAGTGTGTTTGGTTTGTCATGGCGGTGTGCAGATAAAGGAGCAGCGATTACTCCAGTCACAGCTGATAGTAGATCAGTTAGCCGGTCAAAAGCTGTGCTTGCTCCAAATAAAAATAAAAAAAAGGCATTCATCCAGCTTTGGAGTATGATTGTTTGAACGTCTGAAATTTCATGACCCAGTTCTCATGCAGGTTTTTCAGCAGAGCCATCAAATGAAGCCGTTCTCGGGTAATCATGTGGTGTTAGCAGAAACATCAATGATTCGCCTCAACATGCCCCACATCACACACATCATTCATATCCGCACGAACACGAACAATAGCGGGAAATCAATTGTGTGTGTATGTGAGTGCGCATGTGTGTTCTCTGTTTGTGTACTGTTAGCCTGTGTGTTTTGGAGCAATAACACCTTGAAAAAAAAAAAAGGAAAAACTCCCACAGACTGTTTCCACAGCCTGTCTGTCCTCTTCCTCGCAGCCAGGACAGCTCATCACTTCATCACCCTGCCGGCTGTTTCTGCACAATAACAAGAATGTTATTAACATATATGGAAATGCAGTGTGAAAACAAGCCACCCCTTCCCTCATGCCCGCTGAATGCACCCGTCTGTGCACAAGTCTGCGTATGCATGTGTGTACGTGTGAGCCCGAGCGTGTGTTTGTGCATGCGTGCCCGCTGTGTGCACTCAGATTCTGTGTTCAGAGGGAATTGCTCGCTTTGATGTTCTCAGATGCAGGCAACTGCTGATACCCCTATTAGCTTGCACCGAGCTGATGCAAGCTACGCTAGTGCTAGTCCCCCCCCCAAAAAAACGGTTCATTTTGATGCTAAATGGAGCAAGAGCGAAATAAGCTACATTCAAGTGGAGCCTGAGGATGTCAGCACAAAGAGACAAAAGCACACACTTTATTTAAGAAGATAAGGCTCTGGAATTAACATGGTGATAATGATGGTGATAAACTCGTCTTCCTGCAACACAGCCAAAGGGCCACTGCTGAATCAGAGGAGGGAAGGAGGCGAATGTGGTTGAAGGTGGGGAGATAGAAAGCTAGTGACGGAGAGGTGTGAAGAAAAGGGTAATACAGGGGTGTAAGAGGAATTAATGGGGAGAACGGATGAAGCTGGGGAGGAAGAGGAGGATGAATGGTGGGAGACTGAAGAATAGACGGTGCACACTTGAAACAGATAACTAACTTTGCTCATGAGTTATTGGAGTAATTATTATGTACCATGCCAACAGTGGTTCGCAGAAACTCCTTTCTCGACACCAACTCTCATCTTCTCCTCCACTCCACGACGAGCACAACCTGTTAGCGTCTGTTGCCCTCTTCTGGTTTGACAGATGCACAAAACTAAAAGCTTGGTAAGAAAAAACATGAACGCTTCACACATGATTGCAGACCCCTGTTTGCCACTTCATGCTACTGTCAGAGAGGAGGAGCGACAGCCGAGTCAGGCTCAACCTGTGAGTCATTTTAGATCGACATGGTAGAGCTGATGTGATGGATAGATGGACTGAACTTCTCTGTGTGTACAGAATTAAACCTCAGGTCCAACCTGTTGTCTTGACGACTAAAGGGTCCCTGTGAGATTTTGCTCATGCATTCAGCATGCAAAGAAAAGATTCAGGCGATGTCAACTTCTTTTTTGTTTGTTTGTTTGTTTGTTTGTTTGTTTTTTATTTTGTTATGAAAGTACCAGCCTGTAAAACCAAGCGGTACAAAAATGGTTTTATTCCATCAGACATCGAGCACATTAACACGGGGAAGAAACCTTGAGAGCTGTTGGTTTTTATTTGGTTTCATTGAGTTTTATTTGGTCTTATTCGATTCATTTTAATCTCTTATTCCTGAGCACTGCTGTCACTTTATATGTATGTCCTGTTGCATGTACTGTGCTGTTTGTTCGTCTACTGTCATACATGTGATTCACTGCAAACAAAATTTACCCGAGGGTACAAATAAAGTAACCACTGAACCTTTGAATTTATGTAAATCTTTGCTCTTTCTGAATACCTTGAGGACGACTGATTTCTTTTTTTTTTTCTTTTTTGGATGACTTGTGACAAACTCTGCTCTTCACATTTTGCTCTATCAGCAAATCAAAACGTTGCTTGAGTTGGCAAATCAGTAAACCACAATAACAAGACCACAAAACATTTACATGATGCTCCCAATGGCGCTGTAAACACTCCGGATTGACAAGTGAATCAAAGCTGAAACAGTCTAGAGAGGATTTAGTGGAACCCAGACAGGTAGGACAGGACCCAAATGTGAAGTGGATGGGTCTTGTGTCACCCTGAAGGGATTCTTGTCTATATAACTACCCATGTGCCATGCAAAAGTGATGTATGAAGACAATGTGATATATGAGGGAACTAGAAAAGCACTCGGAGAGCACAGACCTCCGCCAGGCAGCTCATGTCCCCCCTTAAACAAGATATGCCCCGGCCGGGATTCAAACCCAGGACCTTCTGGTTGTGAGGGAACAGTGCTAACCACTACACCACTGTGCCATCTCTCTACACCACTGTGCCGCCCATTGGTTATCTTTCAGCATTGAAAATTCCAACGACACCCTTATTTTTATGTGTTCTGGATCACAGTATCCAGAATTTTGTCCGGATCACCACCAAAATGTAATGGGATCCTCCTGGGGCTGAGACACACCTCTGGTGAAAATTTCAGGTCAATCCGTCTGTTACTTTCTCAAACAAACCAATGCTACCGAAAACATAACCTCCTTGGCGGAGGTAATAAGGAACCTATAATGTAGCAGATAGTAGCGGTACCATGAATACTGATTATGATTACAGCTTAAAGGTAAATCAAACTAAATCACTTATTTAAAGGTTATGCTAACAAAAAAATTGGTTTACCAAATATTTCATTTTTCTTTTTAACTAAGTTTTTATTAAAATTTTAACCACCAAATATTTCATTTTTCATTCTGGATTGCAGGACAAGAGTAAAATATCCATATTGTTTAGCTTTTATTTCTAGCATGTTCACAAAAATAAACATCTTTGGCATCAGTGTTGACAAGCAGAAGTAAATTGAACTGAAACTCTTGTTCATGCATTGGTTTGAAATGTGAGACCTCGTTGTTTCAGGGGTTGCTGTCTGTCAGCAAGCATTGTCACTGCAAAACATGTCACCTCATGTGTGTTTACACAGCCTTATGGAGCTATGACGCTAACCCATCCCTGTTTCACATTCAAGAGAGAGTTGATGTACAACTCCACATCAGGACTAGTCGATGAAACAGCAAAAAGGACTCAACACATTTCCCAGGATTAAAAAACTGTACTGCATTTGTCAAACTGAGTGTTGCTAAAGCGCCCTCACATTTATTCACTGGAGCCCTGCAAGTTCTCAAGATCTCCTTTATTTTGTTAAACAACTCCTTCTCTGTTGTTTTTTGCCGGTGTTTACAGCTCATTCACTCTTACCTCTCTACAGTAAAGTCCTTCTTCAGAAGCAGAGGCGAGAACTGACCTCCCAGTCACCCCTCTTTTTCCTCACCCTTCTCTCCTTGTATCCTTGCTATTGACGATGCCACACGAGTATCGTTAAGCCGCAGCAGAAACTTTGGACTCAGGAGAAATAATCGGGAGGGCGAAACGGCCTGCGGAAAATAAATGGATAAACTTTGAACCTGCAACTCAGCAAGGTTTATTTGTCAGACATAAGCCTAGAGTGCCTTTCCTGTAACAAAAAAATACCCACAAGTTAAACTTCATGGACTAATCCAACTTGACAGCATGCTTAGTGTGATGGGAAGTTCAGATGCCCAAAGCCAATGGAAGGAGAATAAGAGGGTGAAATAAAAAAAGACAAGAGGTGACTTTCAAAGTTGTTTTTTCCCCAAATGAACAAGGAAAATGTCAAGCGGAATCTGGAACTGAAGAGAGAAGGGAAGTACGTTTACGTCGGGAGAGGCGCACTGATGTAACCTTTCTTTTGCATTGCGGGAAAAGGTTAGTGGGAATTGCTCTGGGGCTTGTCGAAAGCACATAAGAAGCAATGAACACCTTCAAAAACACGAAGAGTTGGCACAGGCGGAAAGATTAAGCTGCAACAAAAATCGATGCAGTAAACCTGGACATAATATTGCAATGAAAAAGCTGGGCGATGGATTGAGAAGACAGCCGCTCTTGTCTGTCATTTCACAATATGTCATCTACGACCGCCAGCACTCGCAGTCATTTTAACACGGCAGAGATTTAAAGGGCTGGATGTGGAGGAACTGATAAGAGCATTTATCAGCTCTAACTGCTAGAGGGTGAAATGTTAAATCTGAATACCTTCTGTGTGAAGATAAATAGCTACTTTCCCTGAATTTACCTATTAAATGATGTTGACTCAGATTTATTGCGGCTAAAGATAACAGGAGAACAGATGTTTTGACCGTATATTATCTAAATCGAGATCTACATCCTTTTCCATGTGTTATAGTTTTTTGTTAAATAATAGCTCAGGTAGCATGCTTCCTGTACAGCACACACTTAATTCTAGCAGACACGTTGACTTCATGTTTGACTGCGAGCAGTATGCTAAATAGCCGCTCAAAGGCTACTGGCGCTAAACTGGTTTGCTCTGCCAAGGCCCTCCAAAATACAAAGTCCACAGCCATGCACATGCACACACATCATGCCCCCAAATTCAACTTTCCAAGGCTTAATGGGAAACCTGATTTTCAAGCGGTGCCAAAGGCATGTCGCCCTGACTAAAACCAACTCCTACCAGTGTGGGAGAAAAACAGGAAGGGTGAGAGGAGGATAGAGGAAGAGTTCAGAGACGGAGGAACGAATGCAAATGTGAAATGCAAGATCTCAGCAAGAGTGCATGGGGCTAATTAATACACAGATGAGTTTATTAAGATTTCTAGGTCAGAACCCGATTGAGTGGCATGTTTCATATTTAGCACAGAAGTGGAGGAAAAAGCTTGTTTTGTAATGTGGCGTGGAAGAGATGCAGGGATGTTAGATGCTGCGGGTTCGCTCACTTATCCCGAAGACTTTCCAGGGTCAAAACATTAATGACATTAATGATATGTTTAAATGTCCAGAGATGGATCAAAAAATATATATTAATGAATATGAAATACAAATATGTAGGATAGAGAATTATAGTCTGTCAGCAAAAACAATGAAAGCCGTAGAAAATGAGAGGACGAGCGTCTGTCACTGTGAACTTACATTTGACATTTATTAATATACTCATTTACAGCATAAAATTTTAAATTACTACTGTCTTTGTAAACTTACTCAATCTCCTGAATGATGATGGACTTTCATACTTTCTCCAATTTTAAACATATTTTTATCAGTTCATTCATCAGATACAGTGCCCAGCATCAGTCAGTACACCCCGTATCAAAAGTAATGTATTACTCAATATCTAGATGAGTTAAAGGAGAATTTCCAAAGTTTTGACAAAGCTGAGTTTAACATAACATCTGATTTACCATAAGATGAAAATAAGGGTGATATGGTAACTAAAATTTAGCTTTGCTCCCAGAACTTTGATTGGGGTGTACTCATTTTTGCCTCCTGATTTTTTTTTTGTATGCAATTTAAAAAACTTGTTTGCAATCAATGGCCTACATTTTGGGCAGTATTTTGTTGTGTAGTCTGACAACGAAAATGTTGAAGGGGTGTACTCATTTATGCCGAGCACTGTATTTGGTTTTATACATTTTGATAAATGAGGTAGAGTTTACTGCAGCCTGTATGTTGAGGGAGATTTTTGACGGTAAGAGTATTAATGGGAGCTGAATTAAATGTAAAAATTAAAATCATGACATCAAAATAAAAGAATTTTATTTGGAAAGGGTTAAACTGTAAAGCCAAAAAGTTGCATGCACATAAATACATGAGTTTACACACAAACACTCACATACTCGGGTGTATTTCACAAACTCTGTGGCTGCAGGTAGAGAGAAAAGGAAGTGGTGTGCCTCTGTCAGCATTAAACATGTCATGTGTGCGAGCTCTCATGCAAGTGTAAAGTTCTATGAATGTTTAAATGTCTATGAGGATGTCTCTATGGTATCTGCATGTGTAGTATGTGCGTTCAGTGTATGTTGCGTGGCAGTATGTAATGTCCCAGTTTAACCAGAGATCTCTGTGTTCACAGCGTGTGACGGACCCCCGCTGCTCTGTGAGAGAGGGAACACGCTAAAGAGAGCAGTATGTGGTGAACACACAGAGCTGGAGCAACAGAGGAGATACAGTATATCAATAAACCGGTACAGACTCAGGTAATTTTAGGGGAATAACAGAAGATGGCTCCCTCTGTGTAAATGGTTATTACAGGGTGAACCGCCGTATTACAGCATTCTCAAACACTGTTATCCAGCTGCGGCTCTCCAAAGCTTTTCATCCATTAGATTGAAGTTATTTCTTTTCAGACTCCCATTGATTGACTCACATTTTCAAAGAAGGAATACAGTCTGAGAGCGAATTTGGGGGGGGGTTCACCTCCTCTCTATGGTCCCTGTATTTATGTTTTTAACAAACATTAAGAAGATTTTTAGTCACGCAAGAGAAACAATCATCCAGCAAAGGGAAACTCACAAATTACTATTTCCGCCGGAGATATTATGTCCCCTGTTTTATTTTAAGATGAAAGATATCAAGATGAAAATGTGGTTTTATCCTGAAATTATGAGGAACTTTCACAACAACACCAGAGTCACAGTGAAACAGAAACCATATTTAAACTCTGAGAATCCAGTGACACTTTCTTAGAAGCTAATATTACCATCTCCTAAAAAATAACTTTGTCTGCATGTATTCAGGTAGAGTTTATTCTTCTCTCTCAAAGTTTTTTTTTTTTTTGCTCTGTCTAGCTTTGAAATACTGTGAAAACTTCAAAATACAATATCAGCGAAACCTAAAGTTATTTGAACTTTGTTTGGCTTTGAACAAGTAAAGGTGGGCACTGGATGAGAAATGAGATTCTGTTTCGTGTTTTACCATCTTTGTGAGGCCCAGTGCGTGTGTGTGCCATCTGAGATCAAGTCTGCTTCTCTGTCAAAGTGAACTGGTAATAAACTTACCTCAAACTAGAGAAAGGTGCTGTATGTAGTGGAGTCACTCTGTTGGGCTGAGTCTACCCATGCCCCAGCTGTCACTCAGTGTGCGCACACAGTCCTGAGTGAAACATGACTTTTAAGTAATGCATAAACACTCAAACTCCTCGTGGTCAGGCTAAAAGACTCAGATAAAGCAGCTGGGGATGACTTTTCTCTTCCATGGACACGGTTCAATCAGACTGAATCTGGCCTCGGTGTTCTGCTCATGCTCAGGACTTTGCATGCTGGCTTCGGCCTAGACATTGAAGGGTGGAAATGCATTGTTAGCCCTTATAGACAAAGAAAGGACAGATAGAAAGAAGCTGTAGTATCATACAATCAAAAAGTAGAGGGTAAGGCTGTCGTGGTATTGATGGTGACTGTCTTTATTATTTGATTAAATATTGATAATATACTCTAAGTGCACAGTGATGGTCCTTTATGCTGGTTGCCACCACAGGGTGTATGTACTGTAGACAACTTGGCACCACTTTCCGCCATTATTGGAACTTGAAGCTGAATTGCTTTCAGTATTTCTGGGATTGTCTCCACTTCCTGGAATCAAGTGTTAATCATAGAAAACATGAACCCCCTAATAACTTTTAAAAAATGGAGACGCACAGAAAAAAGAGGACTTGAGCGCAAATCAGTCTTACAGCAACTACCTGACAATATCGTGACCAGGGGGGAGAAAAATTTATATTCAGTGTAATAAACTTCTAAAGTTTGTCCACAGCTCCATTGCTGGACGAGGCGGGATTTATGACCTATACTGCAGCCTGTCACCAGAGAGAGCTGTTCTCGCGGTGGCTTCACCCAGCGAGGAGGCAGACGGCGTCCATTCTATATACAGTCTCTGGTTGCCACACATCTTTAAAGGGGAGGGAGTCAGAGCAGCAGCTGACTCATCACTAAGGGACCATCAGACCAAAACTGAGATCCAAATATTGGATACAAATTGATTAATCAATCGATTGAACATTTATACTTTTTGACCCTGAAAGCATGCCAAGAAATCGTGTTAAGTGGGAATCTCTTCTCTGAACATAGTTAGAAAGGAATGGTGGCATGTGAATAACAGTGTTTCTTATGGATTATGTTGTTGCATAAATATTGTAATAATAATGTTAATTTGTTGTTTTATGGTCTCCATAATCATGAGGTGAAGTCTGTTGGATAAACTGTAGATTGTCATCTTTTGGATTTCAGTTAGAAAAAAAAAAAAAATTACATCTTGAGGAATTTGGAGAAACTCGGAGATTCAAACACAAAACTTCATTTTATGTTCACTTTCAATTTTAACCTGTACTCAACTATTTTTCAATCTTAATTTGACTGAGGTAAGAGATAAAACTATGGTTCAAAGGTAGAGCTGGTTGGCGCTGGTGGTTCAACCCTGAATCCTTATTCCACACGACAAAGTGTCCTTGGACAAGACAGTGATATCCAATTTGCTTCTGAGTGGCACAGCCAGTGAATTATAAATGTATAGTACATGAATGGTGTTACTTAATATTGATGGGCACTTCACAGGGCATCCTCCACAACATATGTATGAATGAGTGACTGAATGGATAAATGTGGCGTGTCGTGTAAAAGTGCTTCGAGTAGTAGACTGAAAACATGCAGCTCATAGTACACGGTATGATGAGGCATTCAGCTCCTGAGACATGACTTTTCATTTGAAGGAAAGTCTCAAAATGCAAAACAATAACTGTGCATTCTGAAATGCGTTCACGAAACTGTCAAATTATTTAGCCTCTTTTCTGAGTTATAGATCGTACATCGTACAAAGGACAAAATTATCGTACCAATATGATAATTATCGTTCACCTGGCAACCCTGGGCTGCAAGCTAACACAAGGAGAAGTGTGCAGAGCAGCGCTGTCTCCGCCCACAACTCAGAGGGAAACTGCTCATGAGCTACTGGAGCTCTGCAGAAGATAAGCCCTTAAAAATAACACAGGTAATGTGATTTGGGCTGAAAACTTCCTAATCACAATTTAAAGACAACTGATAACGGTAACGCTTCCTTTTACAGTACTGTAATAACCATGTATTTACATGGTCATTACCAAGTAAGTGCCATGTAATAAGGAGTAGTTACTGTGAAATTACCAAGTAATTACAAGGTAACTATTTTGGTAATTATCTAGTACTTTTAGTACAAAGGCAAATAGCAAGTAACTATCCGGTAATAAGTATTTATTACTGGGTAATTATAGATTAAATATATAATATATAAATGATTATAAATGTAATTTCTTAAGAAGTACCTGGTAACAGCCAGGTAATAAGAAGTAATTACTGAGTAATTATTAAGTATGTATATGGTAACTATGTGATTAATTGCCAATTACTAAGAAGTTACCAGGTAAGTAGTAAAAACCAGTTGACCACTAGGGAAGTACATGGCATAAATACCTAGTAATACCTAGCAAATACTCTTCATTTCCTAGTAATTACCACCATATAAATACTTTATAATTACTCAGTAATTACTTCTTATTGCCTGGCTGTTACCAGGTACTTCTTAAGAAATAACATTTATAATCATTTATATATTATATATTTAATCTGTAATTACCCAGTAATAAATACTTATTACTG